GATTTTACGTATATAAACCCATTATAAACCATTTATAGGAAACAAAGAATTACACCACAGATATTCATAGTAATTCTGTAATTATCGTTATAGAGTAACGATAAAAGTTCGGATATTATTTTCCATTATTTCGAAGAAAAGATCTTTAACTAATGAACTATCCGAAAGTAGTCTGAAAGGGGTCCGAAAAAGACTAATCGTTAAGGCTACTCGTTATAACTTTAAGTAGACGTATGCAATATTTGAAAAGACCGTGCAACGCCTTAATGTATGTAATAAGTAAAAAAAAAAAAATTTTTTTATTTTGGCTATAAAATATTGTTGCCCATTTTCGCCTAGGCTGATGGTAAATTATTAATAAAAGGCTATTAATTATTATGACTAAAATTTCTTTTATGGTCCGTTTAAAGATATCTCATTTATCATGGACTACCCTAACAAAATTTCATCATGTAACACCTTTGCTCATGGTATAAACTTAACCTAAAAAATACGTACGTACGTATATATTAAAATTTTAAACAATTAAAGTAATTAAAGGTTAAAAGTACATCAGATTTGGTTATATGAATATTTGTTACACTTTTGTAACTTTAATTTCACGATTTCACGAATAAAATTATTTTCTTTGGATAGAATTCTAAGAAGGTAAAGACTATTTTTTGAGGTCTGCAACTGAATTAATATAATATCCTGTGAATTTATCATGATAATTATATGTGTAAGCATAAAACAGTATTAATTATATAAATTATATAAAACAGTACGTATTAATTATATATGTAAGCATACGTAAAACAGTATTAATTATATGTAAGCATAAAACAGTATTAATTATATATGTAAGTATAAAACAGTATTAATTATTTTCATACGGCATAGTACATATCAATTCATAAAAATTCATAACAAAAAGGTCAGCATTATATGACATCTCTAATTATTAAACTTGCATTATTTTTTTGATAGGCACACACACTTATACATACTGTAAACTATGAACGAACCACCTCCACCTTTTTTTTTTTGCGTAAATTAATAAGATTGGTTTTTTCTTATCATTTGATACGGTACTAACGATAACAGTAAATGAAGAATCGGAGAAACTGAATATGGTATATGGTACGTCGATCAAGTAATGGAAGTGATCAAAAGTTAATGCACGTGCAACAATATGCATATAAATATATATGCTAAATACGTATATGCTAATTATATGTTAATAATGGCCGATTTTTTTTTTTTTTAAAAAAAAAAAAAACTAGTCGACAATGAACCCATAATTGCATTATCGAGATTGTTAATCTAAATTTGGTGTATATTGATTTTTTTTAAAAAAAAATTGTAACAGCAGGTGATCTTTGGAGTATTGTTAATTGTTACTTTTATATAAGTCATAGTTAAGCAAAAAGATTGATTGATATTGATTTGTTCATGGAAAGTGTGTACCAATTAGTACGAGGGTATGAGATTTATGAGATTAGAATTACTCCTTTATAACGATGGATGACTTGCCAAAAACGGAGAACACCATGAAATTTATGAGTACGTAGACTTTATGACATGATATAGCATGTATAGCATGTATAGCATGTATAGCATGTATAGCATGTATAGTATGAATAACATGAAAAATTGATTTAACAAATAAATACACAAGAGTTAATTACTAGTGTTCTCGCAGGAGAACAAGGAGTACATTTTGTTGTTGCAATTAATAATATTCATAGACGAAAGATAGTAAAGCTAGTGATGGATACGGTTTTAAAAAAGGAAAAATAAAATGATAAAATGCGAGGGAAAAATAACCAATAGATAGTCAGTTTCTACTCATCTTCACGATACTTTTTTTTGTCATCGGACATTAAAATCTTAAGTCTATTTTGTCACGTGGAACGTGGTCCTGTTTTCCTAAAAAGTTGAATGAATTTAACAATCTGTTAACTTTAAATATTTTAATGCGGTAGATTATTATTAGGTAATCAATTGCATAGTTACTATGGCTACTCAAATTGGAAATATTTTCATAGGATAAATTTAACGTGAGTGTTTATTACGTTATTACGATGTTTAAAGGTTGGTTCAGCTTATCATTTGTCGCACCATTTCTGAATTCGTTAGATCGTTCGTCTTGCAATGAATTTTATGCCCTGTTCTCCATAATAATCAATAGTTCATTATATTCAATATTTATACTGTGATATAATATTAAAGCTTCTGCATGATAAATAGAGTTATAGCACAGGGTGACAGTTAATAAAAAAAATTTTATGAAGAAGTAAAACCTGAGAAGAGGATTTACCAAAATTTGTGCCCATGTCTAATTCGTGTTACTGTTGCTCTTGCGATTCAATATTTCCATATTTGTTTTAATTCCGTTATTTCGATACTTTTTTTTCATGGACAAAGAAATAGTCTTGTCTATCACGTAACCAATCTTTTTAAAGAACTGGAGGTCCGCGTGGTCATCATGTTAAATTAATCTTAGTGTCATTATTATTGAATGTGCATCATAATTGGTTATTCTAATTGTTTATTATTAACTGCGCACCAACTTACTAGCATACCCAACAAATTTTAAGTTTTTAAATAACATTTTATTTTTGCAGTATCTAGACTTCTCTTACATGGTTCATATGATTGTAAAGTGAAATGTTTCGCCAATTATTAACACGAAGAAAATGATTTCGCCTAGTACAATGATTACAATGACCACAATTATCGCAATTACCGTAATGACATAGTATCAGTTTAACAGTCAGTTAAAAGCAGGTATATATGTTTAATATATGTAACGTTAATGTTTTTATTAATGGTTAATATATAGTTTCATTGAACTACCATATGTACAGTACGTATCAACTTTACTAACTATGGTGATTTTATTATTGCTGTTCCCCAATTTTAGATAATGGGCTTCCATCCCTTAATAGTCTAGATTAACTTACATTTCAAAATATATCTTAATTCGGAATACAGGTACTGAGTACATCCCTTTTAAGGTAATGTTAATACAGGAAAAAAAAATCCATGCTTCCACTGATGCGGAAGAATGAGAAGTGTAATGTTGATCTGTATTACTATCATATTTTTGAGTATCAATTCGATTGATTTCGATTTGATTTCGATTGATTACGAATAAACTAACTGATGAAATAATATTTTGGGAGGGGGGGAAATTTTTATGAAAAAATTTGAACGACTATTGGTAATGATGCGCATTATTTACAATTATTAAGCATTCTTTTTGTTCGAAGGCTTCAACAACGGATCAATTTTAGAAAAATCAAGCTTATTTTTGTTGAGTATCAATGAATCAATGAATCAATGAAACTAATTAAAGTAAAATTTTCTTTTTAAAAATATATATTATGCAATAACATTAATTTAGAAATATTTCTAAATTAGTATGTAACAAAAGCAAAAAAGCAATAGACGACTCACATTTATTTTTACCCCCCGGATTTTAATGCATTTTGATTCAACTTGATCAAATTTAGAAACTCTCTCATGGTCATACCCGATCGTATTTGATAAACATTATTTTATTATTTTTCCAGAACGTTAAATTAACAAAGCTTTAACAACATGACAAACATAACCTTTATTGACAAGGTATAACCTTTAAAGAACCACTAAGATTTATTTTGAATCCATCGCTACGTTAACTTTTGCTGATTTGATATTTTTCGGCATCTTTAATAAAGTTTTTGCAATGTAGAAAATATAATAATAATAATAATAATAATAATAATAATAATGCTGTAATAATAATAATAAAACTTTTCTTTGTCTACTAAACAAGGATTTTAACGTTAAAGTTAATGAAAATTAATGAATTAAGATAAAAAAAAAAAAATACAAATATGCTCCAACTTTCAGTTTTTTTTTTACAGAAATAACTCCACTTTCCCGCCTACCAATCTACGCCGATTCCTTTCACGTGATACAATATAACGATCTTTACCACACGTGGTTATTAAATGACATTCCACTTACTTACTTACTTACTTACTTACTTAACTTATTCATCACACTCCCTTTGATCCCTATTAAAATATATTAGTCAATATTCCTATTTGTTTTTATTTTATTTTTATTTTTATTTTATACGATAATCTATTTAAAATTAAGTGTCGTACGACAGTGTTCTAAATTCCTTGCGAACATTTAGCAGTACTACTGTGTTCACATCAGATCATATCAAAAAAAAAAAAAAAAGAGCAGCGTATCATTGTATGTACTATATCACGAAGGAACATCATTTTTATAATAATAATATATGCAAATTTATAGTTACATCTGTCATACTAAAATTTTTCTTTTTGCGTTGTGAAAATTATATTAAAAGGCTGTCAAAGTCGCTTTCCCCGATACTTTGCTCTGGTCATCCCAGTTCAAAAACTTCAAAGACCGCCTTTACTACCAATAAATTTTATTAAAGTCCTTATTCTTTGTTCTAATAAATTATCCAATCGAAAGAAAGAAAGGTAAATGAAATAAAAGTTTTTATATAATTATAGAAAGTAACACAATTATAAATTACTAACATATATATTAACTATATAATTTCACCTTACGCACCTTATATTTATATCTTCTTTGCCGCCTTTTTTTTTTTTTTTTTACCTTCAATTTCTTTACTTGATCTTTTTTTTCTCGATCCTACCTACATAACGCATTCCGTTCTACGCATGATGAAAATTACTTATTCACCATAATTCGTAGGCTGAAACGTTCAGAACTCCGTCAATCATTATCATTACGTTTTTTTTTTTTTTCTTTTTCTTTAATCGAAAAAAAAAAAAAAAAATTATTCTTAACATTAATTGGTGGTGACCATAAGCTTCCCAATTAAAATTGAAATTTTTTTAAAAACAATAACTTTCTTTTATATAAATATAAATATCAAGGTGTTAGAATAACGATTTCCCTTTACCACACATCCCTTCAAACCTTTTTTTAAACGTTTTTATAAAAAATATATAAATTTTTTCAACATGAGCAACGACGCTAAGTTTTGTGATTGGCGTGTGGAAATCTATGACTGTCAAGGGTCTAGTTTATTCGTCGTAGAAGTTGTAATTTCACTTATAACTTATGCCCTACTTTCCATCTCTGGTACACTTATCTTTTATTACCGTTATAGATATATGTGGCAAGGTTTATTCGTTGACCATGGAAATGGCATAAGACCTTTACCTGTTGATTGTTTACTTTTCTTTTGGACGATTGCCTCATATATTCGTGGTCTCCACTCATTACTTATGTTACTTAACGCTTACGATAATTACTTGCAAAGAGAATCTATCCAGGAACTTGGTTTTACTGTTTTATGTTATGGAGCAGTTTGCTATATTATTGGTAAGTATTATATACATTTCGTTATTAATATTTTGCTATTTTATAATTAAAAATTTTTTATTTATTTATTTATTTTATTTTTAATTTTATTTATTTATTTTATTTTTAATTTTATTTATTTATTTTATTTTTAATTTTATTTATTTAGGAATTATATATACAATTCCTGTAAATTATACGAGTGGAAAAGTGACACTTAAAGTTGATAATAAATGTGAAATACCTAATCAATCCGTACGCGATATATTCCTTCCTAGACCAAAAACTCTTAATTATATCCTTGCAGTATGGTTACTTTTACCTACAGTTACCGTCTTTCCTTGTTCCATTCTCTCAGGAATTTATAGAGATCAGGGTAATACTAATGTAGCTGATCATTGGACTTCAACTCAATATATTATATATTTTTTCATTGATTCAATATTTGCTAGTGTTGGAGCTTATTACGGAATTAACTTTATGTTAATACTTAGAGGTTCAATGAATCAATTTAAACGTAAATCAGCTAATTGTCATCAATCAAAGAATGGAACACGTGAAGCTCTTGAACGTCTTAAATATACTATGATATACCTTGCAGTTCTTCCAATGGTCTCTGGACCTGTATGGGGAATGTATGGTCTATTCCGTGTTAGAATGATTTCTTCTATGAATATAGCAAATATTTTAATGTCTGCTATGTGGCATGCAGCTGGTCCTCAACCTTTAATAGCAGTATGTCAATATTTATTAGCAAAACGAGTTTATCAACATTATACTGGTAAACCTTCTTCTTCACAAAATGGATCAACAAATTCACATTCGCAATTAACAATTTCACAACAAAGACCAACATTAGCTAGATCACCTACTTCAAATACTTTTGGTGAATATATTGCTAATGAACCTAGTCCTAATTCTTCAGAAGATTTTGCTATAGATTTAAAACCTATTCAAAATGATTTTAATGAGAATAATTTGGTAGGAACAGATTTTGCTATAAGCGTACCTGCACCAGCTTATGGATCAGAACATGATGTAGGACGACGAGCTTAAAAAGATGAACTTTGAAAGAAAAGAGGCAGCAATTAATAGATAATAAGTTGGGAATTTTTCCTAGACAAAAAAAAATACATTTTGCATAAATCATCAATCACTGCATCACCCATTTCTCAATTTTGTAATATTTTTTATTTTTTTTTTAAAACCAAATTTAAACCTTTTCTTCGTGTACAATAGGGACATTTCGCGCGCGCTTATGGTTTTCTTTATTTATTTATTTATTATTATTATTTTTTTAAATATCATTTATAACATAACTTATCTACATACAACTATATCTATTTATCTCGTCACATTTTCCCCCAAAAAAATTTATAGAAAGTAGAAAGAAAACAAAATAACGAATCTTTTTGTTTTCAAATTAAAATCTTGTGAATAGTTTTTTTTTGTAGATTTTGTTCATATGCATTTTTTTTTTCTTTATTTATTTATTTTTTTTTTTACATGCAAATACTTATAGTGTCTATAACTCCTTTACGTACCATCTTTATCATCTTTACTATACCGCATTAACATTATCCACATCTGTCTACATTTTAAACATTATCCGTTTTTTGACACTATTTTTGACGATTACAGCGCGAAAAGAATCTCCCATTGTTATATATATATATATATTCATTCATTCATTCATTCATACATTGTACAACTACTTACACTTTTTGCATCTTTGGTTTTTTTAGTTGAAAAACTTTTTTTTTTTTTACTTGTTTATATTTATATATATATATATTATTATGTTAAATACATACAGTAAATACTTTTGTTCATGAAAAAGGTTTGAAATAATTTGGTTATAAACATAAAGAAACTATTCAGTTGAGCTGTTAGTTTTCTTTTCTTCTTTTATAGATTTGTACTGACAAAATATAGGTTTTATATAATATTTGTCAAAGACTAAAGAAAAAAAGATAAAAAAAATAAAAAAAATAGAAAAATAAAAAACGATAAAAAAAAAAAAAAAAGACAAAAAAATAATAAGAAAAATAAAACAAAAGAAATGAAATAAAAAATAATAGTATTTTCCTATCTCTCTCTCTCTCTCTCTCTCTCAATTACTATCGTTTAGAATCTTCTGAGAGAATTAGAGAATTAGATAATTTTTTTTTTTTTGAGAAACGGAACGATAACGCCCAAATTCGAATTTCGGAAAACAAGGTCTAAATATTAAAAATCACGCCCAAAAAAACAATGTATTACCACGCATATACGCATATATAGATTAATGCATAAAACACTGTACTACACCAATACAGGATTTCAAGGTTTTTTTTTTTAAAATCAGCCAAATGCAGGCGTTATCGGATCATGAAACATGTGAACAAACTGCGGGGAAAGATGACGTTTTATGTTCTTTTTTGATGAATTAGAATGCGTATGCATGCGAGTGAAAATGAGATAATTAAAACAATCAAAATGTTAATCTCTTTTTTTTTTATAACCTTTGTATAATGTGGAGTTGTTATAGCCTTTGTATAAGGTTGCTTCTTAAAGTTAAGTTAAGAACACAAGATGAATCTCACACTAACTATACCACGTTTTTTTGTTTTTTTTTTTGATGAACGGATTAGTAAACATCGATACACACACACTAATACACACTTAATCCATTTAATTATACGATATGTTGAGTTAAATGGAGAGTATTTATTGTTACCTAGATCGACACTTTAAATGTCGATCTAAAATATTACGTACCGCTGTTTAAGTTATTAAAAGTTAAATTTTTAAAAGTTAAATTTAAAAGTTAACTGTCAATTATTTACATATTTACATTTATTGACATACAGAAAAAACAAGATATTTACAAGTTTTGAATTTTATGTATTGTTGTACAAGGGTTAAGAGTATTAAGTAATCGTAAACTTAAGTAATCGTAAACATGAACAAAGAATCGAAATTTTTGCCAAACGTCATACACATTAAATACACTGTATCACGTGTGAGAAGAAATGACCACGCGGATCAAAGGGCCCAACAACAATGGTGGGTCACGTAATAACGATAACCGATAAGGTTTGCATTGAATTGGACCATACATGGAAAAATGATGAACAAAGACACTTTAGAACAAAGAAAAATATTTGTAATACAAGAATTTTTGAGAAAAATTAGCATATCATTTAAAAAAGTCTTTGTAAATTTGAAATTAGGACTTTATTTGGAGTTGGCATTCTTTATTCTTTAGTATTTTGGCATCACGTATGTTGATGCATAACGTATATCATATTTCTAATCATATTTACATATGCTTGATCTCGTGAAATTGCATTCTTTTTAGGTATAACGAAAATAGATACATATATATTTAGCAAGTTAATTTTTCATTATTAGTAATCTTTTATCATATTTTTTTCATTCTCTTAAATTTTATACGTAGATTAAAGTTTAAATCATTTGTATTACTAAGTTTATTATTGATTCTGGGTCTTTCTATTTATCGAATATACGTACTGTATATCAGTTAATAAATGTAATAACGTTAATGTTAATCTAATCAAACTATTTTATTCAATACGATTTCAAGATAAAATGTTTCATTTCTTTTAAACAGTAACTATATTTATAAATTATTAAAAGGTTTATGAATTCTCTATTCTCTTTGGATTTTTAGGAATAAAGTTTTACCATCTTTTATAACAAACAGGTATTATAGAGTAATTTCATATGAGAAGTATAAAATTTATTTAAAATATATTCAAGATTTGTCGAATGAACACAATATAAAATATTATATACCCGATACTGTATCCCAAATTGTCATCGAATAATGCTTTTTTTTTACAATCGACAATGTTCTGCAGTGCCCATATTGTCTATGCAGGATGTCATTAATAATCTCCTGCGCAAATACCGAAAATACTAAAAATGCTAAAGATACCCAGATACTGGAGACACATGAAATATTGCATTATCTGTTATGTAGATCGATCAATTTGTTTAAAAAATCTCCAAATTTAGAAATTCAAAATTATACTCATCGTTATACGTACGATTTAACCATTTTTTTAAAAAAATGCATTCTTACTTTATATATTGTATTTATCGTTCTTTGCCAAATAGTGCGACAAATATCGGGTTTAATAAATTATGAATTCTGTATATTATCATTGTTAAAACAATGGTAATATGCAGAATTCATAAGGCTATATATACCATTGTTTTAATTTGTTTTAAACAATGGAAATATGCAGAAGAATTCATAGGATTCAAAATCATTATTTGTCGTACTATTTTGCAAAGATTGATAAATAATTTAGGATCTAAGAAAGAATTGACTTGAATTTTAGGATTTATTGTTAAATTTGTTCTTGGAATTATGTGCATTGGCTGAAATGACTTTAATGGACTTTAATGACTGTTTTATCCACAATGACTACTTATCTATCATGACCGCAATGACTGTTTTATCCACAATGACCATCTATCCACATGATGTCATTGTTGAACGCGATACGCGTAGAAAAAATAAAATGTTTCCCAAACATATAACATTAAATCTTATTTTCTAGAACCGAATAATTTCTACGTAGATCATCAAAATTTTTTTAAATATCCGAAAAATATATAATATTATCGTTATCATTTATCTTTCCTTAAATGTAGAATGTAGAATGTAGATCAACCGATTATTCACGTCATTCATGTGAAAATCTATATATTACAGTTAAGTTTGTTTCTCCTTGAGAAGTAATTCCGATATTTCTGTATTTAATAATAATAATGCCTCTATGCGAAACTAATGGAAAAAATGTTTCCGATATTAAAGGTAAGTTTTTCTTTATTTATTTAAAGAAAATATGATATCTAATTTTTAACAATATGCGTACGTCTCTTCGTCTTTTTAAACTGATCTCTTAGAAAAGCCTTATTCTTATTCGGCTTTTAAATCTTGGATTAGAATAGATCTTGAAGAAATTATTTTTTTACCAAAGAACGAATATATTTCAACGAAACGATGTAAACATATCGATTTTATGTTTAAATGGATAAATAGAGTCATTATTATCGGATTTAATGCTTCTAATTTTATTGAAGAATTTCAAATTCCATTAAATCAAATTGTTGGAATTAAAATTACAAATAAAAATTATCTTGAGATTTCTTTGCGATCAAATTTTTCTAAACACGTGAATATACTTTTTTATACTTGATTTTACGAGTAGTGATGAATGATACAGGTGGAATTATTATTATTCTTTTTTTACTTATTATTATTATTATTAAACTTACTACTACTACGTATATACACTTTTTAAGTTCTACCGCCGTATTATAGGTGATGATGGCAAAATAACTTCTTCGGCGATTCATAATGATCCAACAGGTGGTCGCTTGAAAGATACTACTACCCTCGTGCTTATTCCTTGTCAAAAAGTTCATCCTTCAACTCTTACCTTTATCAACATTGGAATTCAAAAATTTCACTTGAATAAATCATCAACAATTCGGAAGAATGTAATTTTTTTATTTTTTATCTAATTCAACTAACCTTTTTATTTAAATCACTAATTTAAATTTGTATCATCTTGATAAAAGGCGACTGATAAATATTTAGTAGAGGTTATTACTATTTTTATATACTTTATCGGTTTCACACATCATCCGTCTTATTCCTTAATAAATCTAGGAGATCTTTAACCCTATATATGAACAAGATGAACAAGATTCATGGTATAAATTTTCTTTACCACAAATTTTTTTTAAATAATGTATATATTTTTTTTTGAAATTTTATTAAATTTTAATAAATTCATTATTTCTTTCTCATATATTACTCATTGAAATCTTTAATCAGCTCCATATAACTTTTCAACTTTTAACTCATTCTCGTGCGTTATTAGTTCCATCTACAATCTCGTTGGCAGATTTATTTCTTAAAATTCAGTATCGCTTTATGATAATTGTTGAAAGTTTCGAATATAAAAATATATTTGATGATTTTATCACTGTTGAAAGTGAAGAAGATTGGAAAACTGCTAAGATTGATCGTGCTGTTGTTGATAAAATGAAAATTATTATTAGAATTTCACCAAGATGATTGAATTAGGATGTATTAAGATGAATTAGGGTGAATTAAGGTGAATTAAGATGAATTAAGATGAATTAAGATGAATTAGGATGAATTAACATGAACAAGAATGATATACATACGTATATAATACCCTTGATATTAAAAAAAAACAATTATCTGCAAGAAAAAAAAACATTTCACAATAATAATATGTATTTATAATATAGTTATTGCTGTATATACAGTACAAATCAATAAACATCCCAATACCGGTTAGAATATTAATAATAATAAGTATGATAAATAATAAATGTTTACCGTTATGATATTTGATTAATACAGTATTATAAAAGTTAATAAAAAAATAATAATAACTTTTTGCTTATAATATAAATTTTGATTTAATCATTAGGAAAAATATTTAGGTAATTCTCTTAAAATCATTATATATTTTAGAATAGATCTAATAGATTCAAGAATTATTAGTTTATGAATATTTATATAATGTATATCAGGATTGAACACTTACTAGTCTAATTTAAAAAAAGTCATTGGAATATGTCTATTCATAATTTTTATACATCTAACGGTCTATTGGAATGTCTATTCACAATCTAGCTGTATATATAATGAAAATAATTAATTTTACACAAAATTAATTATTTACAAAATATATAGTAAACATTTAATAAAATAATATAATGTTCACTATAGGTAATTATCACCTGTCCATATTTTAGACTTTAATAAAGTTCAAGATAAAATATTTCATTAAGCAAAGATAATGGTTTTATTTTATTAACCGAGTTTAAAATTTTTTTTTAAAAAAAAATCCAACCCGAAATAAATCGGTTATAATGGTATTCAACACCACATATGTTTTTTAATAGTTTTTTACTATATAATAAAATAGAGTTAAGAGTTCTATATTAAGGGTCTAAGTTAAGAATAGATGAGGTTTTGGGGCGCTGAACATTTTTACTTAGAGCACTAAACATTAATTATTTAGCTAGTTTTGAGACGTGTTGGTTGAACATCACTGGTGTGAATTAGTAGATTTTCGGGGCGCTGAACATTTTTATTTAGAGCACTAACCATTAATTACCGTATTTAGCTCGTGTTGAACATCACTGGTGTGAATTAGTAGTTGCTGCACCACACCCTTATATTTAATTGCTGTGACAAATAAGCTGCAGCAAGCCGGCTAATTTGAAACACTAATAATCGGTTAGGTTGATCCAATTAAACTCGATTAATCGGCTATTACGTATTATAATTCATAAAAATTTCCAAATGATTTTTCGGCTGATTCGGTTGTTATTGACTTTTACATGTAATATCATACTTGTTCTACGTACAGATAACTTTATCATTAAGATATTAATATCTGATATGATATTTTTATAATTAAAAGATTATTTTATTATAAATTTAAGATTTAATATATAAAAATAGGAAATTGATATTTTTCCACACCCTTTTTGATAATGCCACACCCCGCCGCTCATTCTAATTTTTACAATTTTTCGGACTTTGATAGAAGATATCTCGACATTTACCTGACCAAATTCGATAAACTTTTTTTTTTTTTTTTTGAGTTTTATGGATTTCTACTATTAAAAATATAAAAACAAGCTCGTCGAATTTGGTCAGGTAGTTGTCAAGTTATCTTCGATCAAAGTATTGTAAATTTAACATCTATCAAATAAAAGCTGATTGCAGATTGTTGTGAAACTTTGATCGAAGATATCTCGACTTCCACCATATTAAATTCAATGAGCTTTTTTTTCTTTGAATTTTACAGATTTCTAAAATTAAAATAAATAAAGCTCATCGAATTTGGCCAGGTGGTTGTCAAGATATCCTCAATCAAAAATTTTGTAAATTTCTGCGTTGCAGATTGTTGTGAAACTTTGATCAAAGATATCTTGACATCCACCTAACTAAATTCGGCGATAGTTTTTTTTCTTTGAATTCTATTGATTTCTACAATTAAAAATAAAAAAAAAAGCTCATCGAATTTAGCCAGGAGCTTGTCGAGATATCCTTGATCAAAGATTTTGTAAATTTTGAATGCCTATCAAGTAGAAGCCGTGTTGCAGATTGTGAAACTTTGATCAAAGATATCTCGACATCCACCTGATCAAATTCGATGAACTTTTTCTTCTTTCAATTCTACAAATTTCTAAAATTAAAATAAAAAAAAGTTCAACGCATTTAATTAGATGTAGTCGAGATATCTTCAATTAAATTTTTTAAAAAAATTAAAAAAATTAGAATGATTAGTGGATAATTTTATTATAATCTCTAAGACTATAATAAATCAATTCCATGTGTATTATCTCGAAATAAAAGTAGATTTTCTAAATCTAACACATGTGAATGAAGTCAAATCGGGTTCATATAATTCTAATATAACCTTTAAGATACAAATTGGGTTTATATAGGTGTTCAATATATTTCAGAATGCTGATAGCTCAATTGATAAATTGATAAATTGATAAAGCTTGTCTTATAACTTTATTAATTTATCAATAGAGCTATAGCACAGTAGTTTGAACAAGGCATAGCATTAGAACTAGCATAGATTTTTAGACATATACATAGCTTGGTAATTGAGTTTTTTGAACATAGTATAGCCAGGGTTGTGAATAGACAATAGACAGTCTAATGGTCTAATGGTGTCTAATTGAACCATTAGACAATAGACAAATAATTGTCTAAAGTGTAGTGAGGACTTAATGGTGTAGTTATAGATCAGATTTTGTGTCTGTACTATTTTTAGATCAGATGATTATCGCTTAGCAATTTTATTTTTAATTAATTCATAATAAAAAAATATCATGTGATATATGTAATAAAATTTTTGGCTTTGGACATTTAACAGCATCTAGTATATAATAATATTCTATTTTTTATACATATCCTAAATTATACTATATACAATGTTAATATATTCAAAATTTGAATATATGTCCAGTTTGTTTGGTTGGCAACCAACAGATTTTAGCAACAAATATAAAAGGATCTAAATATAAGTTTTCATAATAAATATATGGATGTTCTATAGAATAGGTGAGCAAACTTTGTGACTTCACTAAATATTTATTAATGATTATTAATTATTAGCAGAATTTATTTTTTATATTGTCTATCTATTTTATAAAACATCTAAAAAAATTTAACAAGTTATAATTCTAAATAACAAAATTTTTTTTTTATTAATATTGTTATATTAGTATTATATTAGTATTTTAACTTTTCTATTACTTATCTATGTGTAACTACTAAGTGTTGTACAAATATTATTTAACCAATAGAATCCTTAGTATTAGTTTTATTAGTATAGTTTTTATAGTTTTCATTTAAACCAATAGTTAATGAGTAATTAAATCTCGTTGGCTAGTCTCGTTGGCTAGTCTCTTTGGCTAGTCTCATTGGTTAGTCTCTTTGATTAGTCTTATTAGCTAGTATCTTTGACAAGTCCTTTTGACAAGTCTCTTTGACAAGTCTCTTTGACAAGTCTTTTTGACTCAATAGTACAATAACACAAACTATATTTAGAATTGTAAAAGATATATAAACCTGGCCTTTTTGTCTAAGATTTAGACTTAGACTTGGTCTCTTGTACTTTCTTCCTTTTATCTAATAAACTAATATTATTTTGTGAAATATTTACTTTATACATGTTCTATATTTTGTTATCTTCTTTTATAGTGGAATTATTGTCTTTTTATTGTCCTTTTATTATACTTTTTGCTTCTTTTAGTTTTATCATTAGTTTCTTTTAGTATTTTCTTTACATTATTCATATTTCTTACCCTTTGACACTAAGTCAAGTAATATAGTTTACTGCCACCAAAGTCTACTATATTACAGTTTGGTGATGATGACAGAACCTCAAAAACTTGTTATATTTATATGTGATTTCTAATTTATTTTTTTTTGTTTTATCTTACAAATTATTTTATTTATTAGTTGTTTTTTTCTTACAATATCTTGTTGATTTTTGAATTACTTCCACTTTATTTTAAATATATACTTTGATTATCTTCTATTATTTTTATACTTGTTAATTTTTTTTATAAACAATATTATTATTCTTTTCTATCCTACTTCTATTTATAACTACAATCAATTGGGTCTTTTGGCTTTCAAGTTATTGTATTATAACTCTTCTATACATGCAAACTTTCTCTCAACAAAACTTTAATTTTGCTTGGAAATACTTTGGATATATTCCTACCGATAATCAATACTTTGAACTTTTTCAACAAATTGAAACTGCTATTTCTTCTTTTCAATCTAATACTCCTTTATCTTCTAAACAAATCTCTCTTCTTTTTGAATATTCTCAATTTTGTAGATTTTCTTGGGCTAACAGTAAAATCTCTAAAACTAAAATATATTGGGATCAAGAAGGAATAGTTGATCAAGATTTTAATACTTCCCATACTCCAATATATTATCTTGAAGCTCCTAATCCTGATAATCCAACTGGTACTATCTATCAACTACCTAATCATCAACCTTAACAACCAAAAGTTCATTTTTATACTTTTGCTGAATTTTTTAACTTAAATCGCTATGAACAAGAGATTCAACAAGGAACATTTTCTAGTGACGGCATAAAGGAACTTTTCAAATTTCGTCAACAAAAAGGATTTACTACCTACCTTAATTAATATTGTATGAATATTACAACTTATCAACAACAAATTCATGATCACGATTTTGTTCACCAAACCAGCAGATATTTCTCTTGAGGCAAACTTAGAAAGAAATCTGACCCTAGTTGTTTAATTTGCTATCCTTTAGAAAATAAACCTATTCCTAATTATTTTATTCGCTTTTGGTCTTGGTTCTCTAAAAATTATAATGCAGAAGCATATAACGGAAATACCACTAGTTTCTTTCATAAAGCATATTTAAAAGCAAACACAAGTACTGAATTTAAACAGGTTTTAGAAAATTTAATTACATCTATTCGATATTACAATCACAATCCAACAAAAGAATTTAATCTC